AAATGCGCCCAACGCTATTGCTGTGCATGTAAAGCTGGTCTTGGTAGAACTGGGTGTCTTATTGTATTTATGCGATGAAACATTATGGTTTCCGGCCAGGGCTTGGATTGGTTGGAATAGAATTTGCCGGCCGGGGTCGATATTAGGACCGCAGCAACAATTCCTCTGTGACGTTGAAAAAATTTTTCTTCGAAGACCGTCAGTCACGATGGGTTCGTCGTCAACTCGCAACGCGCGGACGCCATTGAAAATCGATGTTAGTCTCAGCCGTGATGAGGCCAAGGAGGATTTCGGTCAGGGCGAGAGGCTGACAAACGCTAAGAGGAGCGGACAACTATCTAGACTCTTTACTTCAAGTTCTCCTCTCGCTGGACCCCCGGTGAGCAACTTCTTCTCTCGGTTCTCGTAGATGGCTTTTCGTACTGAGTCTTGGATGAGTGAGGAGCGGTAAAACTAATGTGAAAACTCTTCTTGCATATCATGCCATGGGCACTTGATAGCCCCTTTACTGCGCTTGTTGACTGACCTCAGTATTCTCTTGTGTTGATAGTAAACGTATGTCTCAAGAAAACTGTGAGAGAAGAATAGGCAGATTGCCGGGAGGGGTTATTTGATTGGGAAGAGACACCTGCGAGATGGGGATGCTGAAGAATAGCTTTGCTTGAGTGGGACACGTTTGTGCTCCAACTCAGAGAAGTTTATGAAGCCTGTTTTTGAGGCTCCTCTTCGCCTCATACCTATCACAGGATCGACTGCTGGCTATCCAGTCAGAAGGGTTTATTGCATTGGCCGTAACTATGCCGAGCATGCCATTGAGGTTGGTTTCTGTCACCACGCTCGACTATACTTCATCAGCTGCGCTCCCTCTGATGTGCATTGTATCGTAAGCGCGCTGAAATGAACCACCAATGGGAGCGACGACACTAGTTCATCTCGGCGAGCACTGCGTTGCAATCAGAATTCGGTTGTCTACGTCAATCTTAAGCTCCCTGGTCACATTTGAAGTATCATTGGGGTTGCTCCTATTATCTTTATTTAGATGAGCGCTGATCCTACTAGAGAGCCCCCATTTTACTTCATGAAGCCTAGCGATGCAGTGACGCCTCCTCCTGGAGATGGGCAGGCTGTATTGAAGCTTCCCTATCCTAGAGGTAGGGGGCATGTCTTGTGGTGGGAAGATTGACGAGCTTTGGGGGTGGCATAGCTGCCCCACGTCGAGAAATTGACTTCACTAGGGCATATCTTGGGGTGGCATAGCTGCCCCACCGAGAGAAATTGACTTCACAAGGGCATATCTTGGGGCGGCATAGTTGCCCCACGTCGAGAAATTGGCTCAACTAGAGCATATCTTGCAGTGCAATAGTTGCCCACCCGAGGGAATTGACTTTATCAGGGCGTATTTGGGATGGCATAGTCGTCCCACCGAGAGAAATGACCTTTGCTAGGGCATATCTTGAGGTGGCATAGCTGCCCCACCCAGGGGAATTGGTTCTCCTAGGGCATATCTTGGTGTGGCATAGCTGCCCCACCCAGAGGAATTGGTGCTCCTAGGGCATATCTTGGGGTGGCATAGCTGCCCCACCCAGAGGAATTGGTTCTCCTAGGGCATATCTTGGGGTGGCATAGCTGCCCCACCCAGAGGAATTGGTTCTCCTAGGGCATATCTTGGGGTGGCATAGCTGTCCCACCCAGGGGAATTGGTTCTCCTAGGGCATATCTTGGGGTGGCATAGCTGCCCCAAAATGAGTGCCTCCTCCTTCTCCTCCTCTTTTCCAGGTCCAACAGGTCTCGTCCATCACGAAGGGGAGTTGGTCGTATGTCTCGGCCCTGGTGCTTCCAACGAGATGACCCTCTGTCAAGATGATGATGACAATCAGCTGATACAAGAATGTGTCTTTGGTTATGCTCTTGGTGTTGACCTTACTAAGAGAGATATACAGGCTAAGGTAAGGGCCTCCTTCTATTTGGGTTACTCAATGCTCCTGAAACTGCGAGTCAAAGTTGAGTTCCAAAGACACTAGCTATCCCGCTTGATAACAATTCTTGGTAAAGCTGGAATTATCCCTGGCACTTTAGGCGAAATCTATGCGAAGGCCGTGGGAAGAATCAAAGTCTTTCGATAACTCAGCTCCCATCAGTGCAGTGTATCCTCTGCGAGACTCTCTACCATGGGAGACGGCGTTGCTTCGTCTCAAGTGAGCATGTGAATTTCACTGTAGGGAGGTCGACAAGCTCTCAGGGTGAACGGCGAAGTGAGACAGGAATCAACCCTTGATAAGATGATATGGCCGGTCGCCGACATCATTCGATACATTGCTCAGAGGAACGAGATCGCTGCTGGGGATTTGGTGAGCTCTCGTATCGTTGAACTTTGGGAGTTATCTTGGAAATGCATTCCATGTGGTGGTACCATACATTTTATACTCTCGGTTGAGTCTTATTTCGATAAACATTCACACGCCGTTTATACTTATTCTACAGTTTTCGATCCGTACATGTGTCATACTACAGCGACAACAACATTATGATTTGCGACGCCCTACCGATTCGTGATTCTATGTAGAGGCAGAATAGTAGTAACTGCCAGTAGTACCTTAGAACTCATCGTTGGTTGTGTGGTAATTTCTCTATCACCAATTTTGCTTCTTCATTTGTCGATCATTTTCTCAGATATTCACCGGGACGCCCGCTGGCGTCGGCCCACTGAGTATCGGAGATCTCTGCGAAGTTGAGCTAGTCCAAAAAGATGATCCTACAGTGCCGATATTGCCCGGAGCTAAATGCTCACTACAATTTACTTAGTGTCATCTATGTGTTCCACATGGGAGGTTTTGTTCCGTAGTGGGGGGGCGTTATGATCACGACTCGTGGGACCGACGGGATGAGTAACGATCCCGGGTTCGATCCCTGGGAGGGGTATTTTTCACGTATTTTTTCAAACTGCCCTGGGATCGAGAAATGGCGATCTGTCTTACATTAACTTCACATAGACTCCCCGTAGCTATCAACAACGGCGGTGATAGTTTTGTGTCGCGCGGTAGAATAATCACTGCAGTATTGTTTTCTATGTTATCAAACTCATTGCATACTCCAGTGACGGCAAACCCTGGAGACGACAGTAGCCCAAGTAGAACTCGGTCGCCGAGGATTCCCCAAGCTATTGAAGGCCGACCACCAAAACAATCACCACACTTGAAATTCGTCATAGCAGTACTCGCGACTATCACTTCGATTTACTGCGGGTTCGTATTTGGTCTGTGGTGGCCAGCACTGGGCAGTCGCCTGTCGCACGTGTTGCTTACTGTTTTCAATGCGTTTGTAGTGCTGATGCTCTTGGCATTCTATCAAAGCTGTGCTACGGACCCGGGAGGAGTTCCACAATATTGGGGGTTTCACATTGGTGATGATGTGAAGAGAAGACGGTATTGCAAAATGTGTCACGTGTGGAAACCTGAGAGGTGTCACCACTGTTCTGCGTGTAACCGTTGCAATCTAAACATGGACCATCACTGTCCTTGGCTCAACAACTGTGTCGGCTTTTACAATAGGAAGTTCTTCCTCCAGTTGTTGGTTTATGTTTACATCTGTCTGGCTTTGGTCCTCCTGTTTGGTTTTCCCCGAGTCGTTGCTGTACTTGACGATCGCCTTAACCACGGCAGTGGTTCTATACTGTTGAACCTTCGCAACCTCTCCGGTTTGCTATCTTATGTGGTGTCTATACTATTGGCGATTTCATTGTTAAGCTTCGTCAAGTTCCATCTGGGATTGGTACGGGATAACTTCACTACTATTGAGAACTTCGAAAGGGAGCCGATGGTGAAATCTAAATATGATGTTGGTGAACGATCCAATGTAGAGCAGGTAGTAACATGGGAGGAGGGATTATAACGCGGTACTTCACTTTAGTGTACAGCGGACTTGATTTTTATCGCTGGGTTGATTTTCTTAGGGAAAATAATGGAGTTTTAACCTTTTTATGTGAAGTGGCGTAATACTCCATGTGAAAAACGCGATAGGAAGTGAATTACGGCGGATAAATCACCTCATCTTCGCGAAGTGAAATGTGAAATACCTTTCCCACCAGTGTTTTTCATATCACTAGGGTGAAACTCTCATGCTGTTGTATTCTGCGTGATGACAATGTGAGAATTCTGAGAAAAAATTGGAAAATTCACACATTTTTTTCCGTATACTTGTAGTCGAATTTATAATGTAGCTTTGGAAACTTCCGAGCTGAGGTGAGGAAAGCAAACATATATTCCTCCTCCTTCTCCTAGAAGGAGAACAACTCTGTAGTAGACGCGACTTGGATTTCTGTTTGTGTAGGTTATGGGTGCTAATCCGTGGCTGTGGTGGTTACCCTTACATACTAAGTATAGTAGACCTGTCGGAGATGGAGTGAACTGGCGTATAAGGACGCCTGGTGGGGGTGTTGCAATGAGTGTTATGAGTAGTACTGAGCCGATCGAGGGAACAGCAGCAGCGGCGGCACCGCCGGATTGGGCCTTGAGGGAATAGGAAATGTAGTAAGATTGATAGTATATCGAACAGCGAGTTTCTTATCTTTCAAGTGGATCTGCGTTATGGGGAAGGTGTGGTATTAGTGCATTGGAGTTTCATTGCCCTTTTACGTGAAGTGGCGTCGTAAAACTCGGTGAAAAACTCGGCGAT